TCTCTCTGTCTCTGTCTCTGTCTCTGTCTCTGTCTCTGTCTCTATCTCTGTCTCTGTCTCTGTCTCTGTCTCTGTCTCTGTCTCTATCTCTATCTCTATCTCTATCTCTATCTCTATCTCTATCTCTATCTGTCTTTTTCTCTTTCTATCCATCTATCGATCTATCTTTTTATCTCTATCTATCTGTATCTATCTCTTTCTATCCATCTATCGATCTATCTTTTTATCTCTATCTATCTGTATCTATCTCTTTCTATCCATCTGTCTATCTCTCTCTCTCTCTATCTATCTATCTATCTATCTATCTATCTATCTGTCTCTATCTATGTATCTATCTATTTATCTATCTATCTATGTCTCTATCTATGTCTGTATCTATGTCTCTATCTATGTTTCTATCTATGTCACTATCTAGCTATCTAGCTATCTATCTGTTTATCTATCTATCTATCTATCTATCTATCTGTCTATCTATCTATCTATCTATCTATCTATCTCCCTCTCTCTCTGCCTGTCTAACTTTCTATCTATCTGTCTATCTTTCTATCAGTGGAGACATGTAACCTAGTGGTATCCTACTCATAACCCTACGTATAACTAACATTGAACCTCCAAGTAAAGCCCAAACGTTAAACTTTCAGCCGTAGAACCCATCCCATCGTGGTCGCAGGCCCCGGGGCAGGCTGCGCTGCTGACCACAGGACGCCCCTCTAAGCTTAGGGTTCAGATGCATTAGGGGTTCAGTTTATGGGGTTTCAGGGTTCAGCTTTTTGAATTAGGTGTTTTTAGTGTTTAGTTTAGTCCTTGCGTTTTTCTGTTTGTGGTTGGGGTGTTGCCGGGGTTGGGCTTGCGAGGGTTTTGTGAGAATGAATGCCTTCAACAGGGGTTCGACGACTCAAGCTCGTTTCCTCGTGGTGGATTCCGGGCTTAGGACTCAGATGTACCGTTGAGCTCAAGTTTGTTCGAACACGCTGGGGTTTATGTTCTTGGGTTTAGATTTACTGTGGCATTTCAGGTCTGCAAGCACAGGCATGGAGCAGCCCTGGAGATCGTTACTACTCGCGCCAGGAAATGCGTGTGGAGTACATGGAAACCCTAACACCTGAAACACCTCAACCCTAGCAAGACTTGACCGTTAAAAAATATTCCTAAACTTCTAACCCGCGCGTTTTTACCTGGACCTTGCCGAGTCCATGGCTATTGACTTTCGATTCGAGGCGGAAGAAGTCCACATGGGTTCAGAGTCTAGGGCCTATAGGGTACATATTGCGGAAAGGATTGCGCAGTTTCTCGGGTTCTCTGTCCCGTCCCTAGAGCCAAGGCCCCTCGACTATGATATTAGTTGTATAAGGGTTCTATCAGGGTCCCAGATCACGGGAGAACTGAAACCCCGAGCCCGACACTCTGTGTGTAATATAGGGGCTTGAATAATTACCTATACTATTTTGGGGGGTTCCTTTTGGTAACGGAAGTATAATGGACCCCAAAATCCTATTTAAGTTAGTAAAGCCCCTACACTACCCCAATCCTTTCTGTCAGTGTATTACCACCCGAGACTCCCCAGACTAAAATAACTAGGTGCTAAGGACGCTCGACCGTGAATGCTAGAACCGAAACCCCAATCTGAAGCATGCTTGGAGGTTCATGGGTACTTATAAGTGGAGTTATAAGTCCCCTAATATAGGTTATAAGTATAGTTACCCTACTTATAACCCTACTTATAACTACCCATGAACCTCCAAGTACTCTTATGCCAGGGACTCAGCCGCAGCAGCCTCCGCCAAAGCCGCCGTCGTTTAGGCTCCTGCTTGAGAGTCTGGGACTGCATTTGGGGGAGGGTTTAGGGCTGTGGGGATTGCCGGTGCTATCGGAGGTGCAGGGTTTAGGGCTTTGGGTTTAGAGTGCTGTAGGAGTTTAGGGATAGGAGTTTGGGGTCTAGGGTTTAGGGTGCAAAAGCAGTTTAGGGTTTAGGGCTTCGGTCAGAAGCAGAATTTACCCCAAAATCCTTTCCAATGTTGAAGTCTCCAGAACTAGATTTGGGTTTCCCAAAATTAGGGGATCCTAAAAGAGTACCCTCAATAGTCGGATCCTTGGTACAAGGACCCAAAATAAGGTACCCTAATTCCCAGGTAGTGTCGAGGGCGATTGGACGTGGAGAAGGTCCTGGCACCGGAAAAACCTTAAACCCTAAACCCTAAACCCTAAACCCTAAACCCTAAACCTGAACCTAAATTCCAACACACACACACAGAAGAAGGCAACGCAGAGTTCCAGAGAGCCCAATGCTTTACGGTTTAGGGTTTGGAGCCAAGGGTTGAGGGTTAATCTGTGCATCCGATGACCTGCTACATACGGCTGATGGACAAAATCCTGCATGACCTTGTTTACCTAAACTATGGGATTTATGGTACTATACTATACTTGTGTCATGCAGAATTTTGTCCATCAGCAGTATTTTCAGGGATATGAGACATGGTTGCCTTGTAGGGTTTGGACCGCAGGTAGGGTTGAAGAGCGAGAAGGACGAGAGTC